GCGCAAGCTGCTACGAGGCATGCGACTGCCCAACCACCAATGGCCCGAAGCAATGGACCACGCTGTCATGCTGCACAACTTGCTCTCGTCATCATCGCTCCCGAACAATGCATCACCGCACCTGCTGTGGACAGGAAAACAGGGCAGCACCAAAATGTTAAGAGTTTTCGGCTGCATGGTACAGTACCGACCCCCATCTGCACGAGCTGGCCGATTTCCCCAACGCGCACAGTGGGGACTACACCTGGGCATCGAAAGAAATTACAACGCGTGGAAGATTTTCGACGTCCACTCCAAGGAAACAGTAGCAGCACGTGATGTCATTTTCTACTAAAGACTCACCCTTCCGACGTACCTTGCCAACCTAGAAGAAGATCGGGACCCCACAGGTGGTTTCCGTGGTGACCGAGCCTTCGCCTCGGCAGCAGACGAAGCTGACTGGGATGAGCAGAACGTGGATGCAGCCTCGGAGGAAGCTGGACCTCTCCCTTACTGCTCCGTCGATGTCCCAATGGATGACGAAAATCCTCGCGACAGCACCAACGCCGAAGTATTTTACCACTTCGCCGACAACGGTTACGTTACACCTGCAAGAGTCAACACCAATGAAGCAGAACGCATAGGGCCCAACTTCATACCTGAACCAGAAGCAGGTGACGAAGCAGCTTATCCCGAGGATACAACACTCCCCCGCTACACACAGAGTGGTCTCCAGATACTCGGCCTCGTCACCGCGGTCCACGGCGTCGCGCTTCCTAAGGAGCCTGCCACGGTTCAACAGGCTCTGGGGGGGGAGCATAGGGAAAAATGGCGCGAAGCCATGGACAGGGAGTTGAAAGCACTGGAGGAACGCAACACTTGGAAGGTTGCTCCCATCAGCGTGGCACAAAACAAAACAATACTTACCGGGAAATGGGTTTTCCGTGTGAAGACAAAGGCAGATGGCACCATCGACAAGTTCAAAGCGCGCTGGGTCGTACGCGTCTTCGACCAAGAACACGGACGCGACTTCACTAAAACGTTCGCACCGGTCAGCCGACACACCTCGCTGCGAATTCTCCTCGTGATCGCCGCCATGAAGAAGAAGAAACTGCGGCAAATTGATGTCGCCAACGCATTTCTCTACGCACCTGTCGACGCAGAAATCTTCGTCGAACTACCACATGGCTCCAACGGAGAGCCTAACCAAGTCTGTCAGCTGCTAAAGTCGCTCTACGGCATCAAACAAGCTCCAAGGCTGTGGCAACAGTACCTGCACGCAAGACTTATCCGCATAGGATTCCGACAGCTACCTCACGACCAGGGCATGTACCGGCTTACATACTAATCGTCTATGTAGACAATCTGCTCTACATCGGGTCGACCGACGACGTCACTACCTGGTTCGAAGGGGAGCTACAACAGGATCTCACACTCACGGTCTCGTCTACCGTCACGCAGTACCTCGGCCTTAACATTCAAGAGGAAGAAGACGCGATCTATCTCAACGCCGCGAAATATGCCAACACTATCGCCAAACGCTTCGGACTCACCCCGATCACCATCTCCACACCATACTGCTACACCGCAGGAAATAACAAGGAAAGCTCCACTCTGCTCAAGCCTGCAGGCATACGCGACTACCAGAGAAAGCTGGGCTGCCTCCTATTCGCAGCAGTCACCTGCCGTCCGGACCTATCGTACTCCGCAAGTCAGCTCGCGACCTACCTCAAGAAACCTGAAGCAGAACACATGGCGGAACTCGAACGCGCTCTCCACTACCTCGTCAACACCTCAACCGTCGGTCTAACCTACCACAAGAACGGGACTACGACACCTAAACTAATCGGCTACGTCGACGCCGATCACGCCGGCGACTCCGACAACAGACGCTCACGCACCGGCTACATCTATCGCCTCGAGCCTATCGGACCTATCTCCTGGCAGTCGAGCAAGCAGGAGTTAATCGCTCTCTCCTCAGCTGAAGCTGAATATATCGCACTCTGCTCAGCCACCAAGGAAGGACTGTACCTTCGCGAACTTCTGGAGGAGGCGAAGCTGGCTCAGTTACCCAGCTTCTCCTTGTTCTGCGACAACCAGTCGGCAATTCGCATAGCCAACAAAAACGGATTCGCGAACAGGACAAAGCATATCGCCCTGCGATATTTCTTCGTAAAGGACGAGATCGAGAAGGGGAGACTTGAGCTGTCTTACTGTCCCACGTCCGAGATGGCAGCTGATTACTTGACCAAGAAGCTCGGAAAACAGAAGTTCGAGTACTGCATGCTGCTGACTGGACAGAGCCACGTCACCAGTAGCGACACTCCAGAAGCGAAGGGGAGTGTTGGAAACAATTGACTTAAGCGCCTCTGTCGTGTCGAAACACCAAGTCATAAGCGAAGCAGAACATATCGAAGCATCGGCGAGTCAACCCTCGGAGGTTGAGCAACTGCTGGAGGTTACGCGAAAATCAAAGGTCAGCGACCTTTGACCTAACAAATACAGCGCGACAGCAAGGACAAACAACTGACTCGCTATTGAGCAGTTGCCCGAGTCGTCACCGTATCGAACCGCAACAGCAACAGCAAAACAATTATTAGGGTACGTTCTTAGCCCATGTCAAGTTTCCTGACACAAGGCTATCGATGGCTCCGATCGTTTCACGTCATCATCAATCAAATCCAAACCCTTAACAGCTTCGTGTCAGCCTGCCTGACATGGGCTAAGAATGTACCCTTAGTTATAACCCTTCATATTCCCTTGTACCCTTATAATAGCTTGTATCCCTTTGTTTTAATCAATCTAATTTGCCCTCACATACCAGCGCAAGGTGGTTCACAAACTCCTCATTAAACGCTTCCGCTATTACATTATTCCTACTAAGAGTTTAGTCCTGCAAAGATCCTAAGGGCTTTTCTCAGCCCAACAGAGGCGACCCACCAAGCGCAAGGCAGCAAAGGTGGATGTATCGAGGAGAAGTGGCGCGGTGTTCCGGGGGGCACTTGCAGAGAAGCGCGACCACGCTGCTGCTGCTGATGATGATGCTGCTGCTCATGCTGACAGTGGGGGGGACAGTGATGCAAGTGCAGATGATGTGGAGGAGCAGGAGGAAGACGATGGGTATTGAAATGTTTCTTATTTTATAATGAATGTGATTTGACAATTTTGGTGTGTGTGTTGTGTTGTGTTGTCATCATTGTCATAGGTAAAACATGCCAGCTAGAAAAAAATCTTGTCCACAGGATAAGTTGAAATGTAGCTCTGATATGCCAGGATAGTGTCACAAGTAGCACTAACAGTTCAGCATACTTAACCGCTGACAATTTAGGACAAAATGAGGCTTTCTACTAAACTGCCCTGAGGCCTCAGGGTACCCTCAAACAAATCTGAGGCCCTGCTAGCAGGTTGCGGGTAACCAACATGGAGTCTTTATTACCGCAAACCAGCTACATGAAGGTAATTGGCCGTATCCAACCCTTTTGTGCGATGGTAAAAACTGTTTAGACTGCTCCCTCCTGCTACGGGAAAAACGGTCAGGAATGCAACCTATTATTCCTACTTCTCCCTCTCCCTCCCCTCTGCTGTCCACCCAAGCAGAGAGGGTAAGGCAGCAGCGAGCAGAGGGGGGTGGGGAGGTAACGACAGAAAAGGAGGGAGAGGTGTCAACGGGAGTTGTTGTTGGCCCCGTCCTCGCTTGGGCGGAGCCGACAACGTGGTTGGGTGTACGGGAGGTACAGCCGACTTGTTGCAGTGGGCGACGCCGACTTGGGCGAGCTGGTCGACGGGGTTGGTCAACTTGCACGGGGCCACTGCAATGCCGCCGACTTGGTGGTCGGCGATGTGGCACGTCGACCCGGAAGTCGGCGCCGACTTGGTGACGCCGACTTCGGGTAGCCGACCTGGGTGGTCGGCTGACAACTGCGCTGGTCGACGTGGAGCTGGTCGACCAGGAGTGACATCGACCTGGAGCTGGTCGACCAGAGGTATGGTCGACCTGGTGAGGTCGACTTGGGGTGGTCGTCGACTTGGGAGGTCGACGAGCACATACAGGAGCAGCTGGTCCACATGGTTGCCCGGTCGACCGGGATACCTGGGTGACGAGGTTCTGCGAAGGAGTGCGACGGTCGCCTAGGCGAAGTTGGCGAGTCCGACCTCGGTGGTGGTATTCCGAGGTCGACGTGGCGGATCAGATGGAGCTGTCAGCACAAGGATGACTTGGTGCGTGCGCTGTTCAGGTGACGAGGCTTAGCCCGCCAATCGTCTACGAGCACCTGCGAAGTAGGTGCGCTGCTGTTCTGCGGGAGCAATGCTGGCACGCCGTCAACCTGCAGCGTTGGCACGCCGTCGACTTTGCACTGCTGGAACGCGGTCGACCATGCTGTGCTGGCAGTCGACCGACCTGAATGCTAGCTCTGATGTAGTCTTGCCATGCCAACTGATTTGGATCATTATTGTCATGTTTTCCTAGTGAAACTCTTGCCAATTCTCCCCGTGAACTAGCAAGCAGCGTGAACACAAGGAAACGACTAAGTGAACGAACGCAGAGATCACACGAGCACCTGTGCCTAGCCCGTAGTCTAGCTCCCGTTGTAGTAGTTATCTCTGCAAGAGGTAGGGCGGGGAAATGGCAAGAAATGCTGCAAAGAGGGTGACGAAGAGGAGGGAGATGGGTAGGCCAATAAAGGGGTAGAGTGCTGGGGCACGGTGCTGGAGGGGCAGGTGCATTGTGAGCATCCCACTCTCTAGCGCTTCCCTGCGGTGGGTGAGTGGGGCGAACACCAGAACCAATGGAATGGGGAATGAAGGGGCAGATGGTTGCATGTGTGCGGAATTGAATGAAATGGTGGATGAAATGGTGGGCAAACGGGTAAACAGGTGGAAACACAGCCACCGCAGCAGGAGCACACACCATGCAGCAAGGGTGCGGTAGTGCGGGGAGACAACACCCAACACACCGAGGAGAAAATTCAAGTACAGTGGCACATATGGAGCAGACATGTTGCAACAGCACAGGTCATGATTCAATCATTCATGTCCACAGTAGCAGCAGCACGCACCGTGCAGCAAGGGTGCGGTAGTACGGGGAGACGACGCCCAAGACCCCAATGGAGGAGCAGCGCAGCAGTGTGAGCCCGTTCTCTGCTGCCCTCACTGCATCCGTCTCGAATGTCATGTGGCCTATGGCGCCCCACGTCCAGCTGGGCTGCAGCAGAATGTCCACTCTGAGGATGGCGAGGGTGGAGGGGAAATGGGGGAGACGGATCAGCAAAGGAAGGACTGTTTGCCATGGCTGTGGCACAGCTACGGTGCCCCACGTCCAGCTGGGCTGCAGCAGAATGTCCACTCTGAGGGTGGCGGTGGGTGATTATGGTTACCGTAGGGATGGGAGAAAAGTGAGAATGGGTTAGCACTAGAGTGCTTGCATTGCTCGTTGGATCTCCTTTAAACCTCTTGAAAGTGTCTTCAACATCACGGGGGAGGGGGAAAGGGAGGTTCAGACCCGACTCACCACTCACAGATGCACCACCCTCATCAGCAAGAAGGCCAGGCTTTGCGAACTCACACATGCACTCACTGTTGTCTGCCCCCCTGGCAGATCAGCGCAGGGAACTGCATGTCAAAGCAGACGGCCACAGACAGCCTCCCCGTCCACCACAGGGAGAGTCCCGGGACCGGGTTGCACGTTGGCCTCCACAGAGGGAAAGAGGTGCGACTTGTTGTAGCGCACGATGGGGGCGCCACTGGGGTCAATGAGGGCGAACGTGTTGACGACGAAGTTTGGGGCAATGAGCTGAGATGAGGAAAGGGATGGGGGTGAGGGGGATAGGCAGGGGTGGGAAGGGGCAAGGTCAGCGCGGTAAGCAAGGAGGTTGGGCTCTTCATGGGCGTGCTACGAGTAGCAGAGCCATGGACGAGAACTTTGAGTCCAAGTCTGAGTCAGTCTGGGTCTGAGTCTAAGTCCGAGTCTGAGCCTCAAGGTCTGACCACAGCAGAAGGGCACTGCCTGCACCAATGCCTCTCCCTAAAGCTCTCAACCTATGAAGCACACATGCACACATGCTGTTCTGGAAATCAAAACCAGCACCTTTACGTATAAAGCACCCAGGTATGGCCCAAGGGTTGATGGAGTTGCATCGTCCACAGCAGCAGTGGCAGCGGCGGCAACAGTTGAAGCAGCAGCAGCGACAGTGTGGTTGATGCTGGCAGAGAGGTCAGCCAGGAGCTTGGCCTCCTCATGGTCGTCCATGATAATGACTGCCGCCTCTGACCACAGGATCAACACGTCGCCTGCACTCACTCTCTGCTGCGTCTGCTGCACCATCCGTGCTACGCCTGCTACCCGCCATGCCTCCCACTTCTCCCACGCTATTATCACTGCTGCTGTCGCTACTGATGCTGCTGTTATTAATTGTGCTACTTCCCCAGCAGCTGCTTTGGCTTTTCCCGTTTCTCCTTTCCCTTCGCCCGCTGCAGTTGCTTCCCCTTCTGCAACTCCCTGTCGACACTCTCCCTGCCCCCCCCCGTTCCTCACTTCTCCCTCATCTGCCCCCAGCAGCATGGAGATCGTGGGTAAATGCGTGGAGGCGTTAGCAGCAGTAAGCTGGCAGATCGAGGGCGGAGGTCGGGGGGGGATGTTGTTGGCGGGGCGCTTGTGCGAGGATAGAGGAGACAGGCACCGAAGGAACTATGGTTTCTTCTAGCGGCTTCTGGAAGAATCTGAGAGGAAGAGGGAGAGGGAGAGGGAAGGGAGAGGGAGAGGAAGAGGGAAGGGAGAGGGAGAGGGAGAGGGAGAGGGAGAGGGAGAGGGAAGGGAGAGGGAGAGGGAGAGGGAGAGGGAGAGGGAGAGACAGATGGATCACGACTCTTGAAGATGGATGAATCTGAAGGAAATACGATGGGTGGATGGTTCAACAGAAGCGAAGTGAAGGAAAGGGAAAAGGAAGGGGAGAAGGAAGGGGGAAGGGGGAGGGGGGGGGGGGGGGGGGATGACGGGAGTTGAGTAAAGGGCAGTAAAGCATGAGCAGTTCGTTGTACAGGCGCAGTGCAGTGCAGCAATAGTACCTGGATGAGAACACAATCTCTCTCGCTGACCCGGCCGCCATCAGCACCACCAGTAGTGCCACACTCATCTGCACGTGGCCCCACCCGCTGCTGCCCCCCCCAAGCCTGTTACTTCCCCCAACAGCACCTCTTCCCCTTTCCCCACCAGCTCCTCCTCCTCCTCCTGCTCCATTCCTCATTGCACTAACACTATTACAGCCCTCACCACACACTTTACTGCCACCCCCCTCCCTCACCCCCTCCCTAGGGCACCTCACATGCCCTTCCCCTCTCCCGCCCCGCTCCTCCCCAACCACCCCCCCACTCCCACCCCGATTCTCACCCCACTCCCCTCGCCTCCACCCCTCCTCGCCCCTCCCCACCGCATCCCCCTTGCACATCATCTGGTGAACACCCCCCACCAGCCAGGCCACCAGCAGTAGGACACCGTCCATGCCCACATATACCGTGGCTTGCACGAGCGGCAGCAGGGTGCACAGCGATTAGAACGGGTGGGCTAAGGCGCCAAAGGGGGAGAGTAGCGAGAGGAAGCTCCAGATGGAGGCGGAGACAAGGAGGAAGACGAGCGGATGCAGGTGTAGTGAGCGCCTGTGGTGGGGGGAGGGGAGCGGGAGGAAGGGGGGTTGGGCAAAGGAGGGTGGAAGTGACTTTCGAGTCGACTCAATATGTGGCGGAGTGAGTAGAAGAGACGCGCGGTGGCAGAGGGTCCAGAGGAAGGTAAGAGGGAAGACGGGCGCGTGAAGACGCAGTGAGATCCCGTCACGGGAAGGTTGGGGGCAGGTGGGAGGAGGGGGAGGGAGAGGGGAGGAGCAGAGCGGAGGGGGAGGGGGATGGGGAGGGGGAGGGAGAGAAAAGGAGTCAGCGTGGTATGGCACACCACCATACCACCAGAAGCCATCACGCTGCCACAACTAGCGGCATGTTCGTGCATGGTAATTCCTCCCCTCACCGCTGAGGAAGATCTTCCGGCGGAAATGAGTTTGGCCCAGCATCGCGAAAAAGTATGGACATCAGAAATGTGCACAGATGCTTTTCTTGCGAGAAAGATTCGGAAAAAAAATATAGTCGAGCTAGCGAGCGTGAGATGAGACGAGCTTTGAGGATCCTCAGATTACTAGTGATGATCACGCTCTGCACAACAACTTGTTGTGAAGCGGAAGAGCGAGTCCGCGAGGCATGGCAGCACGTTGGCCACCGCGATCTGGCTGGAGGCGAGGATGTTGGCCGTCGGGTCCATGGCGTACATGCTCGCGTACGCCACTGTCGTGCCGCATGCCTGTGAGGGATGATGATGATGATAGTGAGCGAGAGCACAGGGGATCGTGTATCGTAGCTTGTGAGGCGTCACACGTTATAACACTACCCACTGGGTCAAAACGAGGGTGTTATTATTTGGCGCAGCATAATGCCCAGTAACACTTAGCCCGCAGGTGTTACACTCGTCCCCCCCTGGTGCCAACGTCCTCGTTGGCGAACTTCAGGGAGTCAGCCCTCGCAGGGTCCTATTCGCTGTGCTCCAAGTAGCGACTTCGCTGGTGAGGTCAGGCCAGCGGATGGCCGTTCGCTAAGTTCGCGACTGGGTTACCACATTCCAGCGTCTCACAAAATTTGGGCCACCGATGTGACCTTGAGCTAACCCTAAACTTGCCGCGAGGTAACCTCCTAGTAGGTTACCCCGAGGTGCTACTCGGGCAGGCCTGTCGATTGACAGGCATATGCCCTTAATGCCCTGAAATTCCGGGCTACTTTCGCTCCAGCTCGACTGCATAAAGTGTTAGGATCGCCCTGTACCCGTGCCACTAAGTGCTTTGTTCGACCCTTACCCGGATGCGTTAAGTGCTCCAACCAGGCCTTCCCCACCCACAAAGTTTTGATTTCCGGTTCTAGGATACCCCCCCCCCCCCCCCCCCCCCCAAGAAATTCTGCCTGACCCCCTCACTCCCACCCCCCCGTTTCTCCTTAGGTTGCATGAGAGCGTGCCAAGGGGATTTTTCCCTGAGCGTTTTCTAGCCAATCTCGTGTTTGTGATATCTCTAAGTCATCTTTGGAGCAGCCGGACTTTCCCTTAGCTAAGATAGTGTAAGTGCAAGCCCGGATATCAAGTTTTCACTTTGGCCTGCGCCCGTGACCGTTAAGGGCGCCAAAACACTCAGGTACGGCCAATACAGGGTCAGATAGGGAGGAGCTGGGGACTCCAAGTATGGGCCCCAGGAACTTCGACAGGCCTGTACTCGGGCTATGGTTCAAAGTAAGGCCCTGTTCTGTTGCCCCACCACTTGATGCGGGGGCGGACAGGACAGCACCGCATCACATGGTCCACCATCAGGAACTTCCGCGAAACAACAGACCCGGTTGGTGCAACGCAGCATCCTGCCGCACCACTTGATGCGGTGCCTTGATCCCCCCTCTGAACCTGAACCAGGCCCGCACCAGTCCCGCACCCATTTTGCCTGGGAGTGGGGGATTACGAGTGCGTCAGTGGTTCACCGTTCTTTTGGGCGGACGGACTGCACTGTGCGGACCAATATTAATTACAAAATGTTTAGGAATGTTCTAGATACATCCTGCGGCCTGCATAAGATGTACCGGTTAGTTAAGAAGAAAAAATACTGAAAAACGGAATAGCCCACCTGCCTCATAGAGATGTCGAAGAGTACTTAATACGCGGTACGTATCTGCAAACAGAAAAGTAACCGATGCAAGCTAAACGAGATTGTTAAACAACACATACCTAAGAGATGAATGACAGAGGATGCCAACATGAATGCACAAACAAAGGAAACTTACGGAAAGACGAATTTAGAAAGACTTACTGGTTCACGATGCCGGAAACGCGTTAACGGGCTTCCTCCCGCGCCTTTTTCCGAGTTGAAAATAATCATCTAAAAGGGTCCAGGGGGAACATGCGCAAGAAAGGAAACACAGCAGAAAGTGTACGACGTAAAGACAACACAAAAATAGACTGACATACTGCTTCATGGCGGCGCCTACGAGTGGAAGTGCAGCCTCACGCACCACATTTGGGTTGACAACTTAAGAACTGAAAGACCCAAGGAAATATAGGCAAAAGAAGGAAAGAAAATAACGGATTTTCATATGAGAAGCTAACCATGGGAACGTGGCGATCATCATAGCAGCAGACAACAATACAAATGGAAGAGGCAGTCGCGCGACGCGGGCATTCGAGGTAAGAGAGGATGAAGGAGGAACGTATGTTTAGATGCTAACAAATGAAATCAAGAAATGACCAGCAAGACTCTTGAAGGTGGAGCTGGAACCCAAGACCTGGTTGGAGCAGGCAAAGGATGGGGTGGGGTGAGGACGTGGCGAGGGGCAGTACATGTCAAGGGATGTGACGTGGCGTGAACAAATTCGATCTTAGGTAAAGGTCAGCGACGTGGAATGAAGATATTGCACAATCACAAGTTTATTCGCCATCCTGTGTCAGCTGGCAGTCAACCCACGCAAGCAACCTGCCCAAACCTGCCTGTGTGGGTACAGTATATGGACGAGAAGCGAGCTTGGGTTTTACATTTCTGACCAGGAAGTACAGCGAGGCTGCAGTCAAAATATCAGTCATTACAGTGCTGTGCTGGACACGCTGCATTGGTTGGTGTGGTTGGACTTTTACAGTAGTAACAATTTCACTGCTAGTTACTGTTGGCGAATTTTCGCCACGACGCGAAATCTCTTCGCCAGTAGTCGGTTGGATCATTTGGGCCCTGTGCCTAGTCTATGGTGAACTTCGCTACCTGGTTGTGACTTCGGGTCTTCTTTGGGATGAGTTTGCATGAAGTTGGCGTAGGTAGCCCCTAGGTAACCTGCGTTGGGGGTGAGTTGGGCCCCTCGCAATTTTTGTCTTGAGGTCTCGCTCATAGTGGACGATGTGGACCAGCCGGGAACAGGCCTATCGATTCGCGGACATTTGTCCGTTTTCCCTGAGAATTCAGGGTTCCCTGGCCCGCATTCCTAACGGACGGGTTTGGAGCCTTCCCCAGATTTCCCAAGTTCAGATTTCCCAGCCTGAACTTAGGGCTAGATTCGGCTGCTGTCCGGATGTTTCAGGCTTGCTTCGGGCCAACTCAGCTGTGTAAGTGTTGGGCCAAGCGACACCCCTGGCCGGGAATCGAACCCTAGGCTCTGGTACCACTGGGTCAAAACAACGATGTTATTTGGCGCAGCCGAATCCCATTAACACTTAGCCCACAGGTGTTACACATTGCCGTGTGGCGAGAGGCGTTTCTTTGTGATTGATCAGTTGCGACGTGGTTTCTGCATGCGACGC